TTCCTATATATAGTCCCGCGCACGTAGATAGAATATGGGGTATATCGGGATCTTATTATAATATACCCGAAGCCATACTCTATCTACTTAAGGGGGACTATAATCCCTTGTACTACTCTCTATGTATTTCCTATTCCACATACCCCGCGATGCACCAGTAAAACCAGGGACGAAGTCGCGAAAATGGCAGCCACCAGCAAAATGGGATGCCTTGCTACAATGCCTCTGACAGTTGCACATACCACGGATACTACACCTGAAGCAACCCGACCATCTCGGTTATAGCTGTCTGGTTTAGGGTTTAGGGCTTAAGGTACATTTTGAACACTACACCTTAAACTCCATGCACAATGCTCCAACCTTTAGAACAAGGTTCGCAGCTGAAAAACCAATGATATCCATATGCAGCCTGTGACAAATCCCTGCGTTATGCCACTTGCAGAGCCCATTGTAGACCCTGTTAAACCCCACATCCTTATACCGAGCGCTCACACTCTTCACACCAAGGCACAAACCCAAATCCTGAAATACCTAGGCTGGTGACATTCCCAGGGAAAGCCAACTAAAATCTCATGTGTCGTCTCATGGCGGCGAGTATTGATAGCACCACAGCTTAGACCTCCGTAAATCCACCTGCCCAGCCCCTAAACCTTATAAACCTCCAGAATCCCTTTTTCCATGTGATGTTCCATGTGACTCTCCATCACTGGGATGACAACCCTAAAAAATATTTGCTTGACGCCTATATAACCCCGACATACCCCCAAAAGCCGGAGATCTCAAGTAGAGTGTCTTTCCACAGGCCACCCCGAACCCTAAACGTCTAAACCCTAAGCCCTAACCCCTAAGCCCTGAAGCCTCAACGCCTAAACCCCAAAGCCTCCTTGAGGGACTGGATCTCCTCCTGGCGCCTTTCGTTGCGCTCCTGGGCTGTGGAGCCCGTGGCTAGGCAGGAGTCCTGACGATCTTGGCGGGCTAAGGAAGGCTGAAGGAGGTTCAAGGGGGTTTACTGGGGTGCAGGGTTTGGGGTTTAGGATTTAGGGTTTAGGGTTTAGGATTTTGGGTTCAGGGTTGAGGATTTTGGGTTCAGGCTTTAGGTTCAATGTTTAAGGCTTAGGGTTTAGAGTCCTGACGAACTTAGGGCTACAACAATGGGAGATCAAATGGAAAATGAAAAAGAAAGTAAGATGGAAGCTGGGGCATATGCATATACATTTATATATAGATAGGCTATGTAGGGTTCAGGGTGTGTCGGCTTAAGTATTCATGAGTGGGAATGGAAGATTAAAAAGACAACCTGAAACTACCATAATATGTAGGCTTTAGAGTTAAATGCAAACACAATGGAAGATACTACATATATGGTTAAGTGCTTTGGGGTTTAGCGGGCGTGGAGGCGGCCTGTGGGGGGTTTCCACGGTTTGGGGGGTAGGGGAGTTTGAGGAGTTCGGGGGTGTGGTATGCAACATTCAAAGGGATGAAGCGGTTGAGGATTTGGGAGTTGGGGACATTGTTTCCGTGTTCGGCTCGTGCTTGTGCTTCTTTCTGTTTTCTTCGGGCTTGAAGGTCAGAGCTCGAGGAGAGGTGTTTCGGAGATAGGGTTCAGGGTTTGGATTTGGGGGAAGAGGAATTTTGGAATTGGAGTTTAGGGCTTTGGGCTGAAATTGACAGATTCTACAAGGCCTTGGCCGGAGCATCTAAAGATTTATGGAGATCCTGAAGGCATTTCATGCCATCTTGCAACAGCTTCTACAGCCTGTATGATGTAAGAATTTGCGGGAAGTCTGAGGATGCTATGCAAAGCCTCAGAGGATTACAATCCGGCTTTTGCAAGGAGCTTGAATTGACAATAATTACATATCTAGGGACCATCCAAGGAGTTTGTTGAGATCATATGGTGTATGAGAGCAATTTTTTCCAAGTAAATGTATGGAATTTACGGAGCAATATCTATGAGGGGCAGCTTGGGTGTGTAGATTTGTGGGGGTGCCGTTGGTACCAAGGACCATCATGAGCATCACTACAATGTGAACACGCTTGCCATTGGCAGCTGTTATCTTGAGCTTGTTGCTCAAATGTTTTTTTACCCTAAGGGTCCAAGTACCTAATAAGCAAATACTATCCAAAACCAGTACTATAAATACTACTACCCAAATCCCAAGTACTCAGTGATTGGGTACATGGACCCTCTGAGTTACCCAAACCCTACACCATGAACCCTTGCCGGCCAGCAGCTCCGTCCAGCTGATCGTAGTACGGTTTAGGAGGACCCCTCACCCTGTAATAGTGGTATAATAGGAATATAACAGAGAACCCAACATAATCTTTATTATGCTTTATAGTCACTTTTACTGGGTGGGGGTCCACCTAAACTTTGGAATCAACCCCAAGACCTCCAAGAAGCCTATAAAAGCAAGAGAAACCCACGCAACAACTTCTATGACCCGTACATAAACCCCGCAGACGTCCCTACATGCTAGTTTCCCAAAAAAGGGGACCCCAATATAGACACAAAGATACTAGTCCTTATTACAATGACCCCTAAACCCTAAACCCTAAATCTAGGAAACCCCGACATATTCCCCAGAAACAGCCCTGTCATTCCTTCAGCTGCTCGTAGTACTCCTCTGCTGCTTGAAGCTCCTTTTTTGCGTTGGACCTGGGCACAGAGGGGTTTCGGGTTTCGGGGTTTAGGGTTTAGGGTTTAGGGCAGGGCTTGGGGTTTGCGGTTTCCGGGTTAAGGGGCTAGAGTTTGGGGCTGTAACGTTCAGGGTTTCGGGTTGAGGCCTGGGGTGTAAGGGCTTACAATGATGCTGGGATTGTCTTGGGTTATGCAAGGAACCCTTTAGGGACTATTGGCGGTAGGCTCAAGGCATTCCCCCGAATCAGGGCTTGTACACACATGTGTATATATATATACTTTGACAACACTACAACTCTCATTGTAAGCACCCTGCGTTCGCCGAAACTCCTTGTATTATCCGATGCCATGGACAACTTTGGGGGTCCTACTGCTTTTGGTGGTTTTGACCTAGGACAACAGACAGGTACCGCTTTTGGGGGGGATCAGCCAAAACACAATTGTGCGTCTCAGATTGATGGTATGGCTTTTGGGCGGTGTCCTATCGCGTTTGAGGCGTTTTGCTCGATTCCTACATCTCACGGCATTCCTCCTCTTCGTTCCATACACATGCATGTGTATAAATTGATTTCCTACCTATGTTGGCAGGTCGTGATGTCATATATGTGTATGTATTTATATACACATATGTGTGTATATGGCCGTTTCCCTAAATAGGAAGACCCATATATAGACCCAAAATACAATAACCCTTATTATAAGAGCCACCAAAAAAAGTGACTAGATTTTTTGGGGAAATGCCCATGTATATATATATATGTTGGAATTTTAAAGAATTACCGCTCCCGAAGCCTAGGAAATCCATGTTTTGGACCAGTCAAAACCGCCATACAGTAAAGGGACCCAATGAAATCCCCACATGAGCCATAATCTAAGTAAACTTCAAAAAGGTGGTTATATAGGGGATTATATAGGGGACTACTATAAGCGTTTTCAAGGGAATACAGGGAGTTTAGACTAGAGCCTGCATGTATATCCAGCTGCTGTGGAGCTGTGTAAGGACCAGACAAGTCCGCAGTGAGGCTAACAATGAGCTGCTCCTGAACAGCCACATGATTGATTCATAGAGATGGTAACTTCCCAAAATATGGGTAACCCCAATATAGACCCTGATATACTACAGTCCTTGTTAAAAGGGGACCCCCCAAAAGGTACCCCTAATTTTGGGAAACCCCGATATAGCAGTTCTCGATATGTACCTACGGTGGCTAGGCCTGTTTTGAGAAACCCGCACACCCGAAGTCCTAAACTTTTCAGCCCTATCCATCTACCTATCTAAAAAACCCTGCAAATGGATCCCTGTACAGTGATCTGCAACCTTCTCTGAAAAGTTTCGAGAAGCAGCCAAATGCCACGGGGCAGTATACATACTTAGTATATGCTCGAGAATGTTTGTGATGCCTAATTGGCTGCTGAACCTTCGAACAATGCGTGGAGCGTTTCAAACTCGGAATGCAAAACAACCCCAGCCAAATGCTTGCTACCTGAGCCGCATTATCGTTCGATTTTCTTCCATCATATAGTTTTCAATCATCACATCATCTATACAGAACTAGCTAAATACAGTAGAGATGAATACCGGAACGCTTGGCGCACACAAGGGCTTTTTTTCAAAATTTAGAGTACCGTTCTGGGGGTCCCATGATAAGGATAAGGATTCTAGTATTTTGGGGTCTATATTGGGGTCCTCTCATTTTGGGAAACTACCATTTACGTTGAAGACCATGGAAAAATCCTTAGGCTGGGCAGCACAAGGGCGACAGCTTGCCTAGTCCAGCTTCGCGCAATCAACATTATCGTTTTTGATTCTGGTTCCATTATCGTTCTGCTGCCCTAGCTTCGATCACAGAAACGCACAATTGCTCAGGATTGAACGCGGTGCGCTTTGCTAACTTATAGTCATCATTGTTCCTATCATTCTTCTTCTTATCATTAGTATTATTGCTAGTTCTTATTGCTACGCGTCCCTCTTCAAGGTGTCGAGCTTCTTTCTGAGAGTTCTACAAAGCGGCAGAGGACCAGCTTGCTGTTCATGCGTTCTAGTGTTCACATTATCAGCTTTCCATTCCTTCTCGATTTAGAGGAGATGGAAGACCTGCCTTAACTTAAAGACCCCTTCTTCCATGATTTCTATATTGGGACTACTATGCATCCCCGAACACTGGTCCAGCGCAGTTACTCAAAAGTGGCAGAATCCTTGTTATCAGCATACCAGAACACAATGACCCCTGACTTCGAATGTGGGTTTCAGAACTTAGGAGTCCATTTTGGGAGTCCCCATCGTAAGGACTATTACATGCTGGGATCTATATTGCGGCCCCTTGTTTATGGAAATCCCGACATAAACCCACAATCCCATTCATACACCCGTCTCCTTCTGACCTTTTTGCAGCTTCTTGTGCTCCAAGTCCTTCTGCTGCTGGACCTGTCCATCTCAGACAGGTCACTGCTTGTCTATACCTCCATCGACCAGCACCACCAGCACCAGCACCAGCACCACAAGCACCACCACCACAAGCACCACCACCACGAGCACGACCACCCAACCAGCAACACCAGCACCACCACCAGCACCACCACCACCACCACCACCACCACCACCACCACCACCACGACCACGCACATCCAAATACGGATGATGGGAGGCTGCACTTTGCCTCCAGAACAGCCATTTCCGACTTGAGCTGGGTGAAGTCCTTATCCGCAGTCATTTCCTGGGCTTCTGTGGTGCTCTCCAGCTTGGAGTAATCAGACTGGACCACCTGCAGGGCACTGATCACAGACAATATCTGACGCCACTTGCAAAAATTTCAGCCGTTTTCACTACCCTGTAAGGTACTCAGGGCAGGGGTGATCAGCTGCTCCAGCCTCCAACATTGCGATGACACTGTCACTGCCTTGCCCGGTGTACGCGCCATCGAAAACCTCTGGGGCGGCTTCAATCTTGCCAGTCTGGATGAAGGAACTCTTTTTCATGCTTGCGTAGTACTCCCGGAGGACCGCGATCGACTCGGTGACGGCCTTGTAAGCCTCCCTGGCATCCGTGATGGTCTTGTTGTTCTCGACTTGCTCGGCTTCACGTGCCTCCGTCTGGTTGGACAAGCTCTCCTTGTTCTCGGCCAACTGGCTAATGAGCTCCGTGATTTCGGAGGCAAGTTTTGCGACCTGGCCAGCTTGATAAAAAAAGACTCCCTATCGATTCGGCTTTCACCGCCTAACTGCTATAAACTCTTGTACAACCTTTACAGAATCCAGACATCCCCACCTCGCTCTCCACAGATTCGACCTTGGCCTGCGTCTCGTCCACGTCTGTCTCATGGGAGGTGCGGGCCTTCTCATTCTGACCCATCTCTTTCTCGCACCAATCCTTATGCTCCATGTCCTCAGTCGACTCCTCCTGCAACAAAAGAGCCACTAGAAGGTGCCAAACGCAGTACTTAGCAAACACATATGTAATTCACCCAAGGGCATTTAGGGCCTAAACCCTGAACCCCTGAACCCTATAAATCCTAAAGACCCTAAAGAGGGCTTATTTCTGCCAGAGTCCAGGGACTTGTCCTACAAGAGGACTGAACCCTGGAGCGGCTCCGGTCATTTAGCTTATGACTGAGGGCCTTATTCCCAATAATGGAATATCAAACGGAAAAGAACATGGAAAAACAAAATGGCAACTGTGGGGGTTATAGGGACGTAGATTGTAGGGCCAGGTGGAACCCCCTGCCAGTGATAGTGACCATCAGGAATAATGGTGATTATATTATGGTGCTCTTATATCCCCATTATACCACTATTTACAGGGTGGGGGGGGTCCACCTACAATCCCCACTCATGAATTGAGTCTTCAGTCTTCGTGCCGTATTTCACCCTAAGCCCTAAACCCCTGCACCCTAAACCCCTAAACCCTAAACCCTGTTCTTCAGGTCCTCAAGTTTGGTGATGAGGCCCTCAACCATGTTCCGGACTTTGGCCATGGGGTCCGCAGACTGCCCTGAGAGCTTGGCATGCTTGAGCAATCCTCCCCCCTAATATTGAACCCCCCCACTCCGCATGATTTTAAATATTCCCAATATATTACAATATACCACAATGAAGAGTATTTGATATGAGAGGGGTGGGTGGGGGGTTTCATAGGAAGGGATTACCCCTAAATTTGGGAAACACTGAACCCATTGAAACCCCAGTCTCCATATCATGTTCCATGTTATTTTCCATTTGATTCTCCAACTTTGCGCTCCATATCCACCATAGCATAGGCAAAATATGGAAGAATACCATTGGTAGCGAAAGCAGAGCAATGAAACAGCAGCATCAAGCAGGGCGACGGCTGCAATGCTGACAACAATACCGCCAAGAGCTGGCATAAGACCAGCATTCGTTGTGCACGTTTGGCCATTTTCAGGGATTGGGGCTATGACATGAGACTCTCGCATTCTCCACACACAGAGGGCATGGCCCCACAACGGCATGCCCAAATATGCCTCTGCCGTATATGGCAGGAAGTGACAGCTGCTTCCTTGCAGCTGCGTGGCCGATGCGAGAAGCCATTGACGAGAGGATGCGGCCTGGGCGCACAGCAGGCTTCGGGATGAAAGAACTGTTTGCATCATCAAAGAGCTTCTATGAGAGATATATTGTGATTTTTCATCCGCCTACTGCGCCTTGTTATACCATATTATACCATATTATACCATAGTATACTATACAATACTATACTCCACTATGTTTTCTTAGATTCTACGATACTATACTACTCAACAGCTGAATAGTAAGCCTGGCGCTCCGCATGTCTGAGGCCAAGGCTGTTGAACTTCATGGCTTGCTTCTGAAGATACTTGGCCGCCCGGGCCTGTCACAGCACTATGCTTAGGGGTTTATAGAGGGATACTATGGGGATTGATAGGGCTCTCTAAGGGATTATATAGGGATACTATGGGGATACTATGGGGGTTTATAGGACTTAGCATGTAACGTCTGAGGCTGAGGGATTTGCGCTTGACGTCTAGGTTAAGTGAAAGACTAGGCTATGCGGGTTTAGGCTTCTAGGCTTATACTAGCAAAGAGTGCTCCGCGCAAAAAGTGGCAGACAAGTATCTTGCATCTGCGTCCTGACAATACCAAGCTCGCACGGAAAGTGGAGTATGCAATATATATATATATATTTATATATACACCTCGAATGAAATGAAGGGCCCACGATCTTGAGAAACACTTGTCGCTCGTCCATGGAAAGATGAGTCACCAAAAGCTTCTTGCATACACCTGCATGAATGGTGAACAGCTTTGACCAAACTCATTATTGCCTTCGTGGCCTGATCCACGTCTACCAGCTAGCATCCTGATGTTGCTACTAAAGACAAACCCTCCAGGACCTTAGAATACCAGCATGCCATAATTCTGATGAATTCAATGCTTACAACAGGGCCACGCAGGATCTTAGTGTCAGCCCTCCCCACATATCCCCCTGCTTCCATTTCATTTTCTACTGCATGTTCCTTTTCGAGTGATTCCCACTACTGGGGTGATATCCCTAGATAACCCATATAAACTCCCCATACACCTTGCAATGCTCTTCCCTGTGAAGAAATATGCTCTGCCTGGCTCCTGGACACCCTGTGCCTCTAGCCTGTGCAGCTAGAACTGCCCACATTATTCCGGCAAAACCCTTGTAATAAGACTTTCGTTGAATGTACACCAAAAACCTGCTCGATCAAAACTCGGCAAACTTACTGCAACTCAAGTGCCCCAGCAGTAAAAAACATGACAAGACCTCATCTTGCCGTATCTTGCCTCAGCCTCTGGCGCAAGGCGCAGAGACACCAGTGCGGTGCCGGCCTACAAAGAAAGCGCATGAGCTGGGTTTAGGCTTTGGGTGTTATTTTGTTTTGGGGGGAGGGGGGGGACGGAATATAGGGGTTTGGGTTTTGAGATTGTAGCCCTAAGAGTGCATGAACCCAGACTAGCGGCTAGCGTATTGGGTATAAAACGAGCATGGCACAGATCAACCAACTTCACCTACTGGCTAATACAGCAGCGTTCACACGATCATCAACACTAGACGTTGAGGGCTCACATGCAAGACCCTTATACACCCTCAACATTTGCAGCAAGACAGGAGTCTGGCCCCATATAACACCCACCTACAGTGGGTCCCCTTTCCAGCAGGATCAAGATGGCTAATGCTGACAGTGCTTGGAGGATCATGCGAAGGTTCAAGTAGCGTTACTAGCACCCTGCTTGATATTCTTGGCAACGGTCATCCTACTCAATACTACCTATTGCAGCCCGCGATTATGCTACTTAGCTTGCCTGTTAGGGCCATGAACATCTGAGTAATCAGGGGAATCCCCTAAACCCTGAATACCAAAATTCTACGCCTAAGCCCTAAAACCTAAAACCCCCGTTAAAAACGCTAAACCCGCAGAGCAGTATGAAATCCGGCAAACCCCTATTCAAATGCAGTTTAGGTTTCGTGCTCCACTTCCTTTCCTATGTGACTCTCTTTCATTGATGGGGTCTGTACCTAGAACCCATAGAATTCGCATAAAATACCTATATAAGCCCTACATAATCCCTCTATGATTCCTACATAACCCCTACATAATCCCTGTATATCCCCCATATAACCCCTATAGAACCCAAACCCTTCTGAACCTTCAGCTGCAGCCGGGTCTGGGTGAGGGCCACCTCCTTGGAAGAGAGGAGGTCGATGGCCTGAACAGTCACTCAAGTTTAGGATTTGGGGTTTAGGGGTCAGAGTTCAGGGTTTGGGGTTCATGGTTTAGGGCTCAAGGATACGCGTATATATATATATATATGTCTGTGTGTGTATGAATATACAGTAGATAGGGATTAGGTACCTTCCTTGACAATTTGAAGGGGCAGACAAGATGGCTGAGAGTTTACTGTAGGTACCTAAACGTTCCCAAGTCTGTTGGGGGTAACTTATACCATATTCATACAATGAATCTGGGAACATGGGATTGGTAATTTTTCGTCTTCTATAGAAGCTTAAACCTGAAGGGCTTTCACATGCTCCTGCGGGTAGATTCGCCCTACGTAGTAGTGCTTGTTCAATGCAGTGCTCAAACCAACGCCGCCCCAGTTCCCTCAGACGGCTTCTTCAGACACCAGTGACCCCAAACCCATAATGCACCCTAGGCCTACCTACCTCTATGCAACTCCACAGTGTCAGATCCCTACTGTTCGTGCACAGTGTGTAGCATGGACTTAAGTGCACTACTTTTCATGGGGTTCAGGCACTTAAGGTCATGGAGGATGCCCGTCTTCCATATACATATTGATCCTACTCTCCTCATGAACTCACAAGCCCAATCAATACCACGATTCCTAAACCCTACAAACTCTATCAAACTCTATAAACCCTTAAACCCATGAACCATAGCAACCCTATAAACTGAATAAAACTCTGCAAGCCCTAAAGCCCAATCTTCTCATGGAAGCCTTACTGCTGATACAAAATAACCCTCCATGAACTTAGTATACTGTAGTACATAATTCCTATGGTATAAGGCACCTTGGGATGCTTAGTATACCATGACCCTAGTACACCACAATACCATAATTCCCAATGTAGAAGGTACCTTGAGATGTTGAGTATCCACCCTACCTTGCCGATGGCTGCAAGCTCGCCCTCCCGCAGCTTGCTGCGATCCGCGAAGTCGGAGGCTTTTTGCTGACAGGTGGCCTGCAATTAGGGGGCATAATAGAAGGGCTTGGAGGTTTACAAGGATACGTAGGAGAATATAGGCCTATATGGGGCTATGTAGGGATTATACGGATTTATGAGGATATGCTGGAATAGATAAGGATATGTACTCTCTTGAGGGTTTCAAGCGACATATCTGTAGCACACTTAGACTTATAATAAAACAATAGGCTTAGTAGTTCCTTAGGGTTATACTACACATGGAAATACGGATCAGCGTTTAAAGTTGAGGCTTCAGGGCCTAGGGCTCAAGCTTGGGGGCCGTAGGAATCCTCGGCATTGCATTATCTGTAAATACATACACATAAATATATTTTTACTTATTTGTCTATCTGTTTATTCGTGTATGTATCTGTGTGTGTGTATGTATGTATGTATGTATGTATGTATGTACGTATGTATGTATGTATGTATGTATGTATGTATGTGTGTATGCGTGTATGTACGCACATACATACCTACGTATGTACGTACGTACATATGTATGTATGTATACGTAGATGAATATTCGTCTATGCATACATACACATTCGGTTCATGAGAGGAATTATGGGTTCTCTATGAAGACTGGACATATGAGCTAGTTCACTAAACTTCCATGTGGGAGTCTGCAAAAAGAGGGGGCATCTTAGAAACAGTCCAATACACTACAAAAGGCTACCCCGACTTTTGGGAAAGCCCCAATCCATATATAACGCTATAACCCGGCCCCACCCCTCCAGTTTCCACGTGATTTTCCCGCTTCATTTCCATGTGATTCTCGGTTGTTGGGAAAAAAACACAAACCCTCAACCCTAAATAGTAGCTTCCGTTTGCTTTTCACTATCCCTCTAATATATCCCTAAACCCATGTCATCCCTGCATCATTATCCCACCTTGTCACAGAATCCTACCTCGTCCTTTCAGAAACCTTAGTTTTCCCTATCCCTGCTACTGGCCTTTGCCCTGAAGCCTGAGCGATAAATAGGGATTCTATAAGCATTATATTATAGGGATATAAATGAATGGAAAAGACAGCGAGAGCTACTATTTAGGTTTTAGGTTTAGGGATGTTACCCCGATAATGGAGAATCGACTGGAAAATGAGCTGGATACTCTGTGGATATATGGGTTTAGGGTTTAGGTGGTAGGTAGGTATCTTACGTAATACTAGATCACCGCCTTTTGCTGTGACTCACTGAGAATGCTGCCCGCATAATTAGGATGCCCCAGAAAGGCCTCAAGTTCTAATGCTGACACAAGCCTCAGAAGGAATGCATGCGGATTCTGCTGTTAAAACATTGGTTTTACAGCTCCGCCGGAACTAGCTGCACAATATCAAAACATGCGGGGGTGCTGTTTAACATGGAGGTGCTCTCAGGGTCATGTAACGGTTGCATCAAGGTTGAAGGTGAGGGGTGTCCTCATAGCAAGGATGTGGTATCCCCGAACAGCATACCCGGTTCTCTGCCTAACCATCTGAAAGCGGAAGGCTCCATCCCTCTCGCTGTGTCAAGTTGGATACAAGCCAATAATCATGCACGCCAACGTTCCACCATTGACAGAATCCCCACATATCCGGATTTTCTCGCGGCACCACAAGTCGCGCATGGGGCATCATTTTGGCCCGACAGAACATCATCTAGAAACCTGCCAGAACTTGAATTGCTTTGCTGAAGGTGGCTCCTTGCTGTTTACCTCAACATTCGGCAGCGGAGTCTTGGGGAGCATAACGCCTACGCTACCCACACGGTCCCAGTGGTCCACCTCCAAGTAACTCCTCAGCTGCTCTTCACTACGCTTCTGAAGGCTTGACTGTTCATACCAGCAAAGCCAGAAAGACCCCAAATGTGCTGCGGTGTTGACAGCAAGCAGCCTAAGTGATCGCCCTGCAACCTTGCAGCTATGGGTCCTTTGTCTCTTCAATCAATGATGACCTCTTACCAGGAGAATGCCACCCCCCGTCCCTTGACCACGAAAATTTCTCCTTGCACAATGTCCTTTCTCTCGACACTGCTCAGAACCGAATTAGAAAGCCCATCGCTACGGCAACCACTACCAGCACTGTTACAATCACCACCACGCCCACCACCACCCGCACCACCACTACCTCCACCACCCAGCACCACTCCTATTTTGCAACTAGTCTTCTGCTGCTACTACGTAGTAGCATGGCTACTACTTCTTCTTCCCTCTATCATCATTCATAACCCTAAACCCTATACCCCTACATAATCCCAATTTCTGTTTGACTTTCCATTTTCTTTTCCATTTGATTCTTCCTTATTGGGGGGATCAAAACCCTGAGCCCTAAACCCTAAGCCCCTTGCTGCTCCACCCTAAACCCTAAACCCTAAACCCTTAACCCTAAGCCCTAAACCCTAAACCCTAAATGAAGTTCCTCAAAGCCTCGGCTTCATCAGCCGGAGCCTCAGGCCCACCTGCGAGCTTCTCAGAATGATCCCTTTGGCATCCCTAAGGTGGACCACTGGACCACCATAATCTCTCTAAGCCCTAAGATAGTCCAACCCTATAAGTCCTACAATTCCTGTAAACCCTACAATTCGGAAAATAATTCCTAAAGTTCCTATGTGACACGCATCCCTAGCTTTTTTGGAGATAACCCTACCTGGCGCTCGGACAACTCCTGGCCGAGGCGGCCTCTGAGCAGATTCCGGTAGATGGTGCGACTGTTGGCCTGTTCAGGGTGTAGGGTTTAGGGTTTAGGGTTTAGGCTTTTGAGGTTTAGGATTTAGGGTTGAGGGCTGGGGATTTAAGGTTTAGGGTTTAAAGGGCCTGGGGTTCAGGGTTCAGGGTGCAAACCCCTCTGCCGCGGGGAGTTTTTAGTTTCGGGGGGTGGGAAGGGGCTTTCACAAACAGGGAAGAGGTGGGCAGTTAGTTAGTAGTTATAGTGATGGCGAAAACCACAGTCATCAGCAATCTACAAAACATACAAGGGCAAGAAAACAACATTTTGATGTGGCCTGGACCAATGTTCCCGGGAAAACGGTGAAGTACGTCGCACCCGCCGGCAAGCCCGGGAGCATCTCACGACTGACATTGTAAAAATACCAAGGCGACCTGGCCTCAAAGTCAAAGGGCACCTGCTGGGGCGGGACAACGGGTTGAGGAGGATAGGTCATCGATTGCTGTTGCTTCCTGGCACGCTCGGAGCTCACAAAGCCATCCGGGAAGTTCCTTACCACAGCCGGAGGTCTCAGAGCTTTGGGATCACTGCATCCCTGACGAATGGCTGCTTCCGCCTTGGAGGAAGCGCGAGGGGCCGCCAAGGCAGCATCCACTGCGTCCTTGCCATAGATGAGAACATGTGTGGTCACGGCCAACATTGCCGTGTCCCCCTGTATGAAGCCATTGTAGTCAACGTAGCGGTCGTAGCGATGCGATGCATTGAGCCAAACCGCCAACTCCAGCTTAAAGACATTGACCTCCGCCTTGTGGTTCAAATGCTCACTGACATCGATGAAAATTCCAGGCTCTACGGTGCCTGGACACCAGCCATTGCGGCTCTCAAACCACGTCCCATGCTGCGAGGGCCCCGTCGGGTTCAAGTAGCAGTCATCCCGCCACTGCGTGACGTTTGCAAAGCTCCTGCCATTTAAGTGGAGGTTGTAAACTGCATGGCAGTACTCGCCGCACTGCTCTGAGGTAGCTGCCCAGCCGTGCCCTGTCACCGTGAGGTGAAGGATTGCACGTTCTCCAGGCGAGAGTTTGCTAGTAAAGGGTCTTGTGAAGACGTGCCCAGATTCCTCTTCATGCACGACACACACTGGCAGCCCCTTCGTTGCGAAGGATTGGGGTATGTTGCTGCCAGACCCCAGCTCAACCTGAGCCATGGGGAAGTGCTCTTGCAAGGCCATCTCATTGAAATCCAAAATCCTTAGCTTGGATTTGGGGAGCTCACCGTTCTTCAGCAGCTCCAGCCCAGAGTCGACCCCGAGCTGCTGCAAGGCATGGAGCTTCCTCTTAGCCTTGGGGATCACATCCCAGCTTCGAGGAATCTGGACCCCGGGGAATGTTGTGGAATTGAGGGCTTGGAAGCAAGGCAGCGTGACGCTTGCGAAGAAGTGGCTGTTGTTCACAATGTGCTGAACAAACCCCACGGGCTTGAAAGGATAGGACATATTGAGCCACAGTGTTGGCGAGTACTGCGCGTCAGTTGCTGTTGCACCATCTGCAAAGAAGACTGGCATATCCTTCACAAGCTGAACGGGCTCATTGAGAATTATCTCCAAGAGCGTATCCGGATTCACCAGCACCTGCTTCACTGACCCAGCTACCAGGTCACTCGTAATCTTGCCCTGAAGAAAGTTTTCCTCCATCATTGCAGTGAGATTGTCCAGGAACGCTTTGTCTTGTTGCTTGTTCGCGACTATTTGCCGCTCTGCAAACTGTGCAATCATACCATTCATTGCACCTGACTTGAACCTGTCCAGGCCGTAAGGACAGGGGAAGATGGTTGAGGCTTTCAAGTCTGCAACCTCGGTCAAATTCAACTCACTTCCGCTTAGCGTTCCGTCCAGACCTGTGATTGCTCCGATTGGTAGCAGGGGTTTCGGAAAGGACTCAGCAAGCAGTACTGTCGCTCTCGGAGAGATACCTGACATAGCAGACTTAGGCCACACAACCAGGTCGACACTGACATTCCAGGCATTGCCGTCAGACGTGTTGAAGGCTGAGCACGTGCCAGTGACATTGTTTACGTACACTATCCGCCGGCGTGTGTCATTGCTAACCCAAGTGTCAATGGCAGCATAGAAATCAATTTTGCCACTTCCAGTCAGCAATGCATCCAGCAAGGGTGCGTAGCCCGTGATGTCGACTATTGCCTCCAGTTCGGCTCCATATGGCGTCACAAACCGCAGGAGCTCTGCTATCTCGAGGTCTTCTGGACCATCACCCATGACACCTTGATCCTCCTGAAGCGCCAGCGTCCTGTGTGAGATGGTGGCGGCATCGCGCTGGAGAAGACTGACCACAGCCGCAGCCGGCACAGCCCCACTCAGCACCAGCAAAACAAAGAGTGGAGTTGCTAGAAGCGACAATTTTGAGGAGCAGGAGCCAGATCTGCTGGCACGCAGCTCAGAGTACGAAGCACCATTCAGAAATGTCCTGACATGCGGAGAGTTCAGTGAAGAATCCATGTGGAAGCAGGCCTACCTGATTTCTCAGGAGCCCGACTGCATTGAACAACTTCAAGAGAGCCCTCAAGCATGAGCAAACAGCATAGGACATGCTCATTCGACATCAGCCTCCTGCAGGCTAACGCAAACTGCAGCCAAGCCTTCACTTCTTCCAAGTACTTCTTCTGTTCGGTCACAGATGCCTCAAGGTTCAGCATGCTCATGCTCCGCACAAAGGAACAGCTTCCAGATGTGGCGGCTGGTCCAAACATTTGTCCCCAAACGACCGCGAGGATGCTGTTTTTTGCAAGAAAAGTCTGGTTCAGAGGATCCGTTACCCGCTTCCTGTCTGCGCCTGAATCTACACCCTGATGTACGCCTCATGTACCGTAGAAAAACAGACACCGGACGTTCAAAAATCCAAACCTGGTGCACTCGCATTTCAATCCAACACTTTACCCATGGGATCTGTAGACAGCACCCAGACCTCCAAGATACCCCAGCAATTGCCTGCAGTCCTCTCTGAGCGATATGAAACACTTCTGTGAGGCATGGTGGACAATAGAGGGCCTTTCCCTAAACCCTAAGCCCTTAGGGCCTTAAACCCTAAACTCAAAACCTCAAACCCTAAACCCTGAACCTTAAACCCTAGACCCTGAACCTTAAACCCTAAGCCCTATAAGCTTAGGGCCTTCAAACCTTAATCACCACCGGCAGAGCCTCGGTGTCCTGGAGCTGCGCTTTCGTGGCTGCCAGGCTCTGAAGGGCATTGGCCTGCAAAAACACAGAATGCTTATATCTTACTGGGTCTTAGTAGGGAATAACGGACAAGAAAATGGCAACTACTAGATTATAATAGGGTATATATTAGGCTTATAATAGGGTATATATCAGGGTTATTTAGGAGGGAATGGAAAAGAAAATGGAAACTACTATAATATTCTAGGGTTTATATAGGGGTTATCTATTGGCTATATAGGAATGATGGAAAGGAAATGGAAACTACTATATCATATAGAGATTATATAGGGGTTATCGATGGGCTTTATAGGGATGATGGAAAAGAAAATGGAAACTACCATATTGTTCTAGGGTTTATATAGAGTTATATATTGGGATTATAGGGACAATGGAAAAGAGAATGGAAACGATCCTGTTAGGGTTTTCTAAAGTTTAGGGTTTTGGGTTGGGGTAATACAGGATAATGGAAAAGAAAATGGAAACTACTGTATTATATTGGGCTATATAGGGATAACAGACAAGAAAATGGAAACGACTATATAATATGTACCCTTCTATCATATAGTAGTTTCCATTTTATGTGCCATATCCCGATATATATTCCCTACATCACCAGGAATAGAGTTTCGTGGCATTTGCTTACTTTCAAGTCCAGGAAACAGTGTTTTCACTGGCCTGGCTAGCGGAGGAATTGCTCCCCTCGAATAAATGTACAATACGTTAATTGTTCCAGGCGGAGGACATGGTGGAGGAGTCTACGGGGGAAGGGGGTCCGTGCAGGATTCTTGCAGAACTGATGCAGGGATGCGCAAGTGCGACGAACTTTCGTCCTGCCGCATCGTGACTTTTGCTGCCAATAGTCGCCCTCATTGCAGTCTGTGATACTTGCTGACAGTCGCATGGGGGGCCTAACAAGAGTTTGAGACCTCAAACTCCTTTCAAAATGCATCACCAGGAATAAAGTTTCGTGGCGTTTGCTTACTGTCATGTTGCGGAGGACGCGGAGTACAGGAAAGAGTGTTTTCACTGGCCTGGCTAGCGGAGGAATTGCTCCCCTCGAATAAATGTACAATACGTTAATTGTTCCAGGCGGAGGACATGGTGGAGGAGTCTACGGGGGAAGGGGGTCTGCGCAGGATTTCTGCAGAACTGATGCAGGGATGCGCAAGTGCGGGCGTGCAGAAAAGCAGTCGCGAGTGGAGCCTGATCGCAGATCATGCAACCCTAAGAGCTGCCACATGTTGAGACAACCTTTGCTGCCATTGTTTTAGGGTTTAGGGTTTAGGATTGGGGTCATATAGGATAATGGAAAAGAAAATGGAATCTACTATATTATATGGGGTTACATATTTGCTGAGTCGGCTACATTTTTACATCCTTGCTTCCGATAGTTGGCCTCTTTCTGTTTCCGCACCTTTGGAGAAAAGAGAGCACCACACCGTGCATGATAATCATGTTGTAGGCCGTTTGTCACCTGTCAAAGGGCCCCTACAGAAAATTGACCTTGATCCGAGGTCCGGTGCCATCCCTCGCCGCACCAGGGCCTGCATGGACAGCACATGAGGGTATTTGTGAATGCCATTCTGAAAAGTGGTCCAAGCCAAAAGATAGCCAACTTTTGCGGATCTTACCGGCCGTTCCGTTGTGACATGTCTCAAGCAAGAGCAGCCACACAGAAGGGTGAAGATCAGTATACCCATGCCCCAAGACCTAGAAAGGGGTAAAATCGTGCCCATCATCCTACTCCTTTGTTGCAACTTTTGGTTCCTGTACCTTAGACAACCATCTTGGGGATCACCCCAATCCCCACCATGCCCCAGCCTACCAGCCGCAGCGGCTACAAGGCACCACCGCTGTGGCACGCCTCACTGGGCCAGCCCTGAGGTACGACTTTTTTAAATTTGCATGCGCAGAGCTTTTGATTTAAGGAGAGATCCAGTCATCTTCCTATGTTCTCATATGGTAGTTTCCTAAAATAGGGGGACCCCCAATATAGACCCCAAAATACTACGGTCCGTATTTTTAGGGCCCCAAACGGTACCACTAATTTTGGGAACCTCACCATTTATCCTTAGGGTCCCTAATGGGCCCCGAGACGACCGCAGGTGTTGCGTGGAGAGGCTTTGGGCCCGGCTGCGGCAGCTTGCTTTGAAATTCTCAAGCAGCAGAGAGTGGGTTTAGGGCTTACGGCCTTTAGAGCTTAAGATTTAGGGATACTTTAGGTGTAATAGATCGTAGGGGTATACAGTGTTTAGGGTTCAGGATTTCGAGCTCATGGCTGAGGCTTTAGGGATAGGGTGCAGGCTTCAGTAGACGGATGCAGGGACTTAAGGTGAACAATGGTGAAGAATTGTGTGGTTGAGTCCCCAATCCACCTACACGACAGGGATAATTCCTTCGCGGGCGCAGCCAACGTGTCCTTCGCCAATGACCCAATAGGCATTAAGCATTTTGCTTTGAGGGTTTTGTGGGAACTTCTTGGAAGCCTATAAGGTGAAATTACAAGGGTTGCCCTAGGCCTGTCCATGATGTAGGGGAGATCCTGGCATGGTTTTATGGGCTTCGAGCCGTACCGTGCTAAGATGTGCTGAGTTCCCCCGTCCACTACTGGTCGCCCAGTCTCTTATCATTACTTGTATGTACAACACTGGTGTTGCGTATCGCAACAAGCCCACCTGGGTAATCGGCATTTGCTCCTCCGGGTGGTCTGCATGGTCACGCAAAGATCCTGAGACCTCAGCCCCGAGATGTTACTGAAAGCCTGACCCAAAGTTCCATAGTCAAGCCCCAACCTAGACAAGCCCTGTACCTTAATGCCTGCAACCACCAATTGCTCTATGCGAGGACATCTACTCCTTTGGGGTCCGCGGCCTCAGCTGTTTCAGGAATGAAGGTTGAGCCTTGCCATTACTGACGAGTGTAACTACTGCATGTGTTATTCCTCTATTCCTCTTGCCCAACTACTGACGCATACTAATTCCTAGAGCTGCAGCTGCTGTTGCAGAGATTCCCGTGTCAGTGCCAGTCGGGCTGTATGTGCTTGCTTGCCACTCCCCAGCTGCTGAGGTGATGCTTTGGGCCACACAGCTGCAGCTGGAAGTTAGAAAGGGTCTAAGCTCATGACAGGGATCATTGCGGGAGCAGGGATCATGGCCAAAATCTCCCAACCGGCAACTCTTTCTTGTCCCACCAGATCCTGAACTCCCACGGTGCCCGGGCCGCTGAGGAGATGTTGACCCAAAAGCTGCCGCACAAGGACATGAGCTTCGGACAAGTCCTGGCTTCGGTAGGCCAGGGGGCGTGTTTGAAGTGTTCACGTGCAAAACCCTAAAATGTTGACCGGGGATTTTAGGAGGGTCAAGCATGGCAGGGAAGCAGGTGGTGCTAGCAGCGTTTCTGGAAGTCTCTCATTTTCGGGCCTCCAAGCTCACATTTGGTGTCAGGTGCGCTACAATTTAGACAGTTAGCAGAAGCTACGTGCTGCGTCGGCATGCGGGATCATGTGGGTAGGGCTTGCTACTGTCTTCAAGCGAGCAGGGCAGGGCTGCTCCCCAGCTGTGGCAACGTGTCGTGAAGTAACGCGCCGCTTCGAGCTTTTTCCTGCAGGGTGACACCAGGCCTCCTTAAGACTTGCTTGTACTTTGGGGTTGTTGTTGGGAGCCAGGTTCAGACCCTCGGAGACCATTTCAGTCGAGAGCAGTGACAAGAAGAGCTTGAGCAGCATTGTAGAGGGCGCAGCCATCATTAAGAGCAACATCAGTGACAGTTGAGTGTGAAGCAACAAGTTCCAGTGATACGGTACACAACCCCCAGCGGGTTGCAGGAAAACACAAGGCGTGCAACATTCACGGCTGGCATTTCCTGCCTTCACGCTTCCAGCAACCAGTAACATTACTTGGGCGCCACTACCCTTTGGCACTTTGGGAACAGCACATCAAAAAAAAACATGCTTTAGTCTCGCTGAAGGCTTTTTCTGCTGCGTGCTAGGTAAGGCCCAAGTCCTAAAACTTGAGCTCTCAACATGTGATGTGCCCAGGCCAACCAGGCATATCTGAAGCTACAATGTTTAATGCCATACCAATCAGGAGCCAGTTTGAACCACCGAAAAATCCAAGACGCGCAGGCTGGGCTGGCAGCACACCTGACATGGCCCAGCTCCCAGAGCTTCCAAAGGAAGTCAGCAGGATCATCAAGGAAACCTCTGCGAGTGAGTTTATAGTCCCCCTTAAGTAGCTAGAATATGGCTTTGGGTATATCATAAGATCCCCCTTATTCCATCTACTTAAGGGGGGCTATTAGGGTTGCTTTTAGGTTTCAGAGTGCAGTAATTTGTGAGTTTGAGGGGTTCGTAGGTCAGGGTTTCAGCTTGGAGGTTTTGGATCTTAGGTTTTGGGCTAGCATTCAGAATGTAGAGTTTTGTGCGGGGCTTTGGAGGGCATTGCAAAGGGTTGGGGATTTAAGGGGATGCAGGGCCTTATGTTATGGGCACTTCTTGGTTGTGGGACGATGCAGCAGACATGAACCCAACATTGTGTCTTGAGTATTTTGGTGCTTGGTGCAGGAAGCCTGCAGCTCTGTACTCCAAGCTAGGAAGTTTGGATTTTTTTTCTTTTTTTGGGAGAGGGGTTGCTGTCGTAGGACTGTACATGAGCGGGAAGCGAAGTTTGAGAAACATCATCGGAGGCGTGGAGGAACATAGGGGAGTTTGTCTAGCATTCGCGTGGAGGTCTCGTGTTTAGGCGCTTCCTTCGCGTGCTGCTTTAAATGTTGAGCATTGTAGGGAAACCCTACCCGAGAATCCACTCCGTTCTGAGCCCGCATAGGTGTTCTGGAAGGTCGGTACATGTTTTCACAAGGTCGGTTGATCAGTTCTCCATGGAAGTCCCTCACTGCTCATCCACAAGCCCAACCTGCTATAGGTTTAGTGCATGGCAACAACCCCCTAAACGGCATTTGGGAGCTTACGGTTGTGGAGGGATCTAAAAGATCAGCCCCTAGCTGATTGCAGCACGCAAGCCCGTTTGGCATGAAAC